TGAAGCATTGAAGCCTGGTGACGACCTGAAGCCTTGAAGACCTGAAGTCTGGTGACGACCTGAAGCCTTGAAGACCTGAAGCCTTGTGACGACCTGATGCCTCTTCGTGTCTTCGTGTCTTCGCGTGTCTTCGTGTCTTCGCGCAAAAGTCACAACCCGCTTCTGCCAACGCAATGGATTCATACACTTCACTTTAACCAATCTGTTTTGGACTACCATTGGTGCCCACAAGGCTACATCCTTCGGACTAGAGGAACGAATGCGCTCAAAGAATCCCAATGTGAGCAGCCAAATGACATCCTTTCTTCAGAGTCTTCCCGAGGAGCAGCAGGAGGTTCAGCACTCTGCTCTGCCATCAACTGAGATGGCGAAGACGGGGAGCCCCACACTGCTGGCACCGAGTGATCTGGCTTCCTCAATCGGCTTGGGCGCAGTGGAACTTGTCCCAGCAAGACCAAAAAAGAAAAATGAAGAAAGCATCCACAAATTCTAAACCTGTTCATGAGGGCTTCTCCAGGGCCGTGCGGAACTGCGGAACTCGTACTTAGACTTCGTTTAGCTCAAAACATGACTAGTTCTTTAACCAGCTACGGCTACGACGGCTCGGCCAAAGCTTGCACCGCTTGCTCAATTTCAACCATTTTTGGAAACCGAGTCAAGTTCTTAGCAGTGGCAGCAGGATTTTGACATGAAGGTTCTTCTTCCCCCACCCCCACTGCTCATCCAACATTGTCCCACGTGGTGGGTGCTTGTTTGACATCTTTGACTAAGGTGCATCTTTGAGTCAAGCTGACAGATGAGGACAAAACGACGCAAATCCTCTCTGCACATTTGATCTGCAGCCAAATGACGTCCTTTCTTCGGAGTCTTCCCGAGGAGCAGCAGGAGGTTCAGCACTCTGCTCTGCCATCAACTGAGATGGCGAAGACGGGGAGCCCCACACTGCTGGCACCGAGTGGTCTGGCTTCCTCAATCATGATGAGGGCAAAGGGCGAATTTGTTTGTTTCCCTTGGGTGGAACTCGTATTTAGACATCATTTAGTTTCAGCTCTACAAAAATCGAAACCCGTTGTGATTTGTCTTGAGTACTGAGTACTAGATTGTTTTGGGCTGCATGAGGCAAACAACCCCAGACTGAACACTGCCCTACCACCAATCGTCGGAATCAGCTTTAGTTGCAGTTCTGTTTGTCGAAACTCTATCAACAAAAACAGGTTGTCCCAATCACAAAGGTAGCATACAATCAATCCCACAAATCTACTAGAAAATGAACGCAAGCAACACATGACCTTTGTGCTGGTGACCTGCCGTTCAACTGCTGGAGGCCACCCTGCCAGACCTTCAACTTTGCTAGCTAGGCTTGTTTTTGTTTATAGTCGTTTAATGTTGCTTATATATAAATACATGTACACGTGTATAATATATATACTGTATATATGGTGGCTCGCCCTCCACAGCAAACACACAATGTGGTCTTACCTTGATCTTCAAATGTGCTGCTAACATATTTCCTGGACTCTGCTTTTCGCCGCTTTGTGTGCCTATGTTCAATCAAAACTGGCAGTCGAAATTGCTTGCCTCTAGCCGCTAGCCATGAACAAATGCCAGGGACCAGCCCTTCCTCTTGACGCCCCAATCCACCTGTTGGCCAAATGACGGTCTTTCTTCGCACACCTCTCGAGGTGCATGAGGAGGTTCAGTGCTTTGCGCTGCCAGAAACTGTGATGCTGAGGATGGGAAACCCCACACTGGCACTTCAGGGTGGCTGACCTTCCTGAGTTGCCGCAGGGGATGGGCTCAAGCGGGTCGCGGGAAGGCGACCTCATTCACAGAGACAAGTCAATCTTATCATTTTACATATTGCCATCATGTTGGGGTGACACAGTTCAGCAAAAATTCAGAATACACACCTAACAGGTACAACCATTAAGACAGCCCCTTCCAGGATGCCATGTTTGTGCAGTAGATTTCCAGGCAAACTTTGACGCAAAGCCAAATGCACGGCAACTATACCAACGTGCATGCTGGACTCTGTTTGTCCTTTTTGGGGGTGTAAATGCACGCCTCTTTGTGCAAACAAGATTGCTCGATAGCACCAACTTGCGTTGCCATGAGCAAAGGAACAAACACTGTCAGTGTTCACGCATGTTCACGCCCATCCCATCCGTATGTCGGTGGCCAAAACACATCCTTGCTCCAGATTCATCTTGAGGTGCACGGGGAGGTTCCAACCTGTCCCCTGCGACAAATCTAGCCGGAGACAGCAGGCCTCGTGCTGGCAGAACAGAGTCGTACCGCTTCCTTAGCGCAGCAAGTGGTTGGATGGAAAGGGGAGATCAAGCGTCAGTGCCCCTCCTCTTTTTGCATAAGGTTCGTCATCCGCTCCAACCAAGACTTGGGAAAAGAACATCAAATAAACACTTGTCACTTGTATAAGTCTTGATCTGCACAGAGTCCTGGAAGTACAGTTTAGGGTGTCAGGGCATTTCAAGGCCGCCCGCAAACATATCTTATATTACTGCCCACTGAAACACGTATATGCTCCCCCCATGATCTCTCTTTTCCTGCCTTTACCATTTCATCCACCATACCTCATGTGCTATGAGGTTGTCTTCACATCAGTCTGCATATATTATATGCAGCTTTCATGAGGTGAAAAGTAGATGAGGTTCATGCAGCTCTGCTGTCTCGACCTGAAGTGTGCACATATGCAAACCCATACAAATTCACACTGAGTCTGATGTATCCATGTAGCTAATTGCAGGTGGCAAGTATCTTCACTTTCGACACGTGGATATGATCCAAAAGTGAAAGAGAGCCGTTTGTAAAGTGCAAAGTCCAATGATACGAGAAACAAACGCGGAAACAAAAGAGCAGCTCTGACATGAAGCCGTAACCGTATCTGAATCTCCTTCTCCGTGTATGCAGCAGCTGTTGTGGAACACGAGGTTTCCTTTTGTTTATCCGCCTTTCCTGTTGCTGGAAATCAACAGTAGAATTTGATATTAAAAAACATCAGTCAAATTCAAACATAAAAAAAGCATTATCATCAGGAGAAATCAACAGGACTCAAAGGGAAATCAACAGGACTCAAAAAGAACGTAACACGGACATCACAAGGAATTTAAACGGATTTCATTAGAAATCAAACGGTTGTTTAGGGGAATCAACAAGAGTCAAAGGGAGTTCAAAAGGAAACCAATAGGAACAAAAAGGGGCTTAAAAGGGAATCAAGAGGAATCAACAGGAAATTAAACGAGCATCAATGAATGGAATTCAAAAGTGTGAGGGAATCGCAATTAACTTGAAGGGATTGCAAACTGTAGGCTCCGGAAAAAGAAACATTACAACAAAAAACGCAATGAAAAACAAAAACAAAAGCCAACCGAGCGGAGGAACATCTTGTGTATTGAACATGTGTATACATGTGTGTTTTCTGGTTTTTGGCGTTCGCTTTACCGGAGCAGTATGTGAAGCTCATTAGACAAACCTGTTGCCTTGCCTCCCAGTGCATCTTCTTTGTGGCGCATACCCCCCAAAAAGGCACTATATGCCCCTGTGTGCTTTTGGTCCAACATCGTTCAATATAGGAGGTTTCTAGCCTTTTTGTATACGTTTCATTCAAAACCCTTTTTCAAAAACAAAAGGTGTTTAGCAAGTTTTTGAACATTCATTTGTGGTCATTAGCTGATGAGGGCACTCATTTCTGACAGGTGAAAAAAGTAGCTTTTCATGGGCAAGCCCACAGAAAACAGCCGTAGGTAGATCATGCGAGGTGTTTGTGTGTATATATATATATATACATGTGTGTGTAACATATGGATGCATATATCCTATGGGGATGTATATAAATACATATATGAAGATATATATATATATAGTAAATACAATATAGTAATACAATAGAATGAACAAGCTATTCTGTGATGCTCTCCCTCAGAAAACCCACAGGAGGTTTAGTCCATGTATATATAACAAATTTCAATGGCTGCAATGCACCGCACAAGCCTGCCTGTTGGATCTAACTCATCTGGCAAGGCTTCAGTGCCCAATGTAGCTTCCCTTCCCTATCAATCCTATCAGCAACAAATGATTGAGGCACACAATCACTGGCACCCACGGTGGTCCTCCATGCCCCAATGACAAGTTCACAAACTAACATAACTATATAGATCATAGTTTCGATAATACTACTTTTCTGGTTGGGGTGAGAACTTGGCCTTGAGAAATAGAACATCTGCCTTTCCTGCGGCCAAGAGACGATCTTGCTCCAGATTCCTCTTGGGGTGCATGCTGGGGTTCAGAGCGACCTTCTTGGACCAACTTGGCCGAAGAAGGGGAGCCCCGTGCTGGCAGTCCAGAGTCAGACCTCTTCGCGAGCATAGTTGGATGGAAATGGAAAGAGCACGTCAGGCGTCACCCGTCACCAGGATACTGAACAAAGTGAAGTCTCAAAGATAAAGCGACATTACAATGGACAGTCATTTGCTTTCTCTAGCTGATCCTGCCCATGCTGACAATATTGTGTCACTAGGGGCAATGTGATGAATGTGGGATGCACTTCAGGAAAACGATTGGGAAGGTTCAGTCCGCACTTTAAACAAACCATGCATATATGACACAATTCTCTGGATGCACTGCACAACATCGCCTGCCCCTTGGGCCTAAACTATGTGGCAAGGCTTCAGTGCTCAACTTAGACTCCCAGTCCCACCAGCAACAATGGTTGAAGCACATGTGTTACGGCGTGTTGTTTGGGGCAAAAGTGGTGGAAGCAGCTCCCCCTCTGCTGAGCTTGAACTTGATCACGGGCAAAAAGACAGAACAAACATCTCGTTCGCATGTCAGGGACCAAGTGACCTTGCTGCAGGTTCCTCTAGAGGTGCATGAGGAGGTTCAGAGCTGTCTTCTGCGACAAACTTAGCCGAAGACGGGGAGCCCCCTGCTGGCAGTCCAGAGTCAAATCGCTTCCTTGGCAAGCATGGTTGGAGGGATTGAATATCATGCTTGGTGGTTGATCTACATTCCTTCTTGGTGACACGCCGCTTTTTGCGACAAAGACGCATCTATTGAATTGTTTCGCGAACCTTTCGCGAACTCCATGTTTAGCTTTCGCTGGGTTTGGCAGTTTCCACATGACGATCTTTTACAGATCTGTTGCGAAACAAACTCTTTAATCGCGCGAACTCAAAACATATTTTGTCAATGAACCTTGGCGCCTTATGTCGACCTTGCAGAAACTGTACTATAATCAACAACCAGTTGAAACGGAGAGGAATTCTCAAACCTGGAACACAACTGTGGACGATCATTTGCTTCCTCTGGCCCCACATGTGACAACGAAAAGCTCGCCCTCCGTCAATTTTAAAGGAACAAAGGTAACGCGACGATGTGACACGTTGAACAGAAATCGAAGATGCACCTTTTAAGAAAACCCATGGGAAGGTCTACACTTTGTGACAAGCCATGCACTTTGCGTCTGCACTGCGCAGCATCGCCTGCCCATGATGTTGTTTACGGCCAGGCTTCGGTGCCGACGGAAACTTACCGATCGGCAGCAGCAAGAACAACAACAACAATTGGTTGAATCACGTGGTGTCATACAATCACAATTGTGCTGCTGGAAAATATGCCCCTATACAACGCCGGTCATTAACTGACATGATATGCCAACTTACACGTTAGACTCTGCTAGTGTAGTGTGCTACCTTGTGCTACAGCGCGCTGTTTGCGGTGATGTTTTGTCAAAGGTATCTCGGCTGGTGCCGAATTTAAGTTGATCATGTGCAACGCGAACACCAGTCTTCACACCCATCTCGGTCGCATGTCAGGGGCCAAGTGACCTTGCTGCAGGTTCCTCCAAAGGTGCATGGGGAGGTTCCGAGCTGTCTTCTGCGACAAACTTAGCCG